TGAATTTGTAATAATGATAATGAACTCTACTTGAATATGGAATAATATACTGGGTGTCCCTATTCAAATAGGAAAGTTTAGGTGCCCTTCGGTGTGACCCTGTATACCTACGATTCATTCCAAAGCATATTTCGAGTGAGCATCATCAAATATGCTGGGCGACCAAATTTCAAGTCATTCGATCGCGCGGTTGATTATTTACAGGGGAGACATTCTAGCTGGGACACGGTGTACATACACTTACTTTTTTAATGCATTCTTGAATCCTTCTATATGGTTTTTGGGGAGGGACGATTCTTGGGTTTTTGGATTCGTGGTAAATAATAAGTATGTATTTTATTTCATTTGAAACGTTTCGCCTATGGCCATAGGCTTTTTCAATCTTTAATAATGGTTATACATGAGAGATTTTTTAAAAAAGCTGGTCTGGAAAAAATTGAAAGAAAATCAGTAGGTAGACATTCTTTTTCAATTATTTTAGGTACGTACCTCAACCAGAGCTATTGTTTGAGCCTAACAAAAAAATTGTATGGCAACAAAAAACAGGCGAGAAACCAGCGATCGGAAATGAGTTTTCCATCATTCCTGTTTAGTATTATATTCAGTTTATTACGAATATTTCTTCAAAATCCTCTATTTGTTATGGAAGTCGATATATCATCAAACATTTGTCGCTAGTCATTTTTAATCAATCAATCATTTATTGTTCACCAAAACATTACAGTTTCATTACAATGTGAGTGCAGGCAAAAATATGAGACGTCATAGTCACCTTTATGTCTCAATAGAAAGTCGATGAAAGGATAACTTCCATGATTTTGAATATTAATATATTTTGAATTCGAGATATTAATACCAACTATGTTTTAGATCAACGAAGCGAAGTGTTATTGATCGACGGAAAAATTGCACAAAAGAGGAAAGTTCAAATCTCGATATATTTTGAATTCGAGATATTGATACCAACTATGTTTTAGATCAACGAAGCGACGTGTTATTTATCGACGGCAAAATTGCACAAAAGAGGAAACCAGACCAGAAACCAACGACCAGTGATAAGTTTTTCATTACTTTTCACGAATAATATTAAATTCATTTCGAATATTTCTTCCAAATTTTATATATGTTATGGAAGGCGATATATTTTAGAGAATTTTTCGATAGTCACCTTTATGTCTCAATGGAGACATGACAGGTACCCTTACGAGGGGAGAGTATCAACCCTTGGCATCGGTAAACCCTCGTTGCAACCGGGGTAGGCGCCTGATGGGTTAGGTATATACAGTGTTTCTCATTTAGGAGAAAATTGTTGGCTATCTGTCCTGCTCATTTTTTGAGCAATAGAAGAATATGTCGCGTTTCAGCAACGGAATTTGAAAAAGTTTCCATCAATATTTCAGTTTCTTATTCCATGTAACTTTCATGATTTCAAATCTTAATATATTTTGAATTCGAGATATTAATACCAACTATGTTTCAGATCAGAGAAGAGAAGTGTTATTAATCGACGAAAAATTGCACAAAAAAAGGAAAGTTCAAATCTTAATATATTTTGAATTCGAGATAGTAATACCAACTATGTTTCAGATCAACGAAGCGACGTGTTATTTATCGACGGCAAAATTCCACAGGAGAGGAAACCAGACCAGAAACCAACGACCGGTGATAAGTTTTTCATTACTATTTACGAATTTTATTCAATTCATTTCGAATATTTCTTCCAAATTTGATATTAAGGGGTAGGTTCCTGATGGGTTAGGTATAAACAGTGTTTCTCATTAAGGAGAAAATTGTTGGCTATCTGTTCCGCTCATTTTTTAGGCAATAAAAGAAAGAATATGTCGCGTTTCAGCAACGGAATTTGAATAGGTTTCCATCAATATTGCAGTTTCTTATTCTATGTGACTTTCATGATTTCAAATCTTAATATATTTTGAATTCAAGATATTAATTCAAGTTTATTCTCAGTAATATTATACAAAATCATTCCATATTACATTGTTCACTTCACAACCCTTTGTGGAGAGATGAATGCACCTAAGCAATTCATTTGCTTGTGTACCAACTATGTTTCAGATCAACGAAGCGAAGTGTTATTAATCGACGGAAAAATTGCACAAAAGAGGAAAGTTTGAATCTCGAAATATTTTGAATTCGAGATATTGATACCAACTATGTTTTAGATCAACGAAGCGACGTGTTATTAATCGACAAAAAAATTGCACAAGAGAGGAAACCAGACCAGAAACCAACGACCAGTGATAAGTTTTTCATTACTATTCACGAATAATATTAAATTCATTTCGAATATTTCTTCCAAATTTTATATATGTTATGGAAGGCGATATATTATAGAAAATTTTTCGATAGTCACCTTTATGTCTCAATGGAGACATGACAGGTACCCTTACGAGGGGAGAGTATCAACCCTTGGCATCGGTAAACCCTCGTTGCAACCGGGGTAGGCGCCTGATGGGTTAGGTATATACAGTGTTTCTCATTTAGGAGAAAATTGTTGGCTATCTGTTCCGCTCATTTTTTGAGCAATAGAAGAATATGTCGCGTTTCAGCAACGGAATTTGAAAAAGTTTCCATCAATATTTCAGTTTCTTATTCCATGTAACTTTTATGATTCCAAATCTTAATATATTTTGAATTCGAGATATTAATACCAACTATGTTTCAGATCAGAGAAGAGAAGTGTTATTAATCGACGGAAAAATTGCACAAAAAAGGAAAGTTCAAATCTCGATATATTTTGAATTCGAGATATTGATACCAACTATGTTTTAGATCAACGAAGCGACGTGTTATTTATCGACGGAAAAATTGCACAGAAGAGGAAACCAGACCAGAAACCAACGACCGGTGATAAGTTTTTCATTACTATTTACGAATTTTATTCAATTCATTTCGAATATTTCTTCCGAATTTAATATTAAGGGGTAGGTTCCTGATGGGTTAGGTATAAACAGTGTTTCCCATTGAGGAGAAAATTGTTGGCTATCTGTTCCGCTCATTTTTTGAGCAATAGAAGAATAAGTCGCGTTTCAGCAACGGAATTTGAAAAAGGTTTCGTCAATATTTCAGTTTCTTATTCCATGTAACTTTCATGATTTCAATTCTTAATATATTTTAAATTCGATATATTGATACCAATTATGTTTTAGATCAACGAAGCGACGTGCTATTAATCGACAGAAAAATTGCACAAAAGAGGAAACCAGACCAGAAACCAACGACCAGTGATAAGTTTTTCATTACTATTCACGAATAAATTCATTTCGAATATTTCTTCCAAATTTTATATATGTTATGGAAGGCGATATATTATAGAAAAAATTTCGATAGTCACCTTTATGTCTCAATGGAGACATGACAGGTACCCTTACGAGGGGAGAGTATCAACCCTTGGCATCGGTAAACCCTCGTTGCAACCGGGGTAGGCGCCTGATGGGTTAGGTATATACAGTGTTTCTCATTCAGGAGAAAATTGTTGGCTATCTGTTCCGCTCATTTTTTGAGCAATAGAAGAATATGTCGCGTTTCAGCAACGGAATTTGAAAAAGTTTCCATCAATATTTCAGTTTCTTATTCCATGTAACTTTCATGATTTCAAATCTTGATACATTTTGAATTCGAGATATTAATACCAACTATGTTTTAGATCAACGAAGCGAAGTGTTATTGATCGTCGGAAAAAATTGCACAAAAAAGGAAAGTTCAAATCTCGATATATTTTGAATTCGAGATATTGATACCAACTATGTTTTAGATCAACGAAGCGACGTGTTATTAATAGACAGAAAAATTGCACAAAAGAGGAAACCAGACCAGAAACCAACGACCAGTGATAAGTTTTTCATTACTATTCACGAATAATATCAAATTCATTTCGAATATTTCTTCCAAATTTTATATATGTTATGGAAGGCGATATATTATAGAAAATTTTTTGATAGTCACCTTTATGTCTCAATGGAGACATGACAGGTACCCTTACGAGGGGAGAGTATCAACCCTTGGCATCGGTAAACCCTCGTTGCAACCGGGGTAGGCGCCTGATGGGTTAGGTATATACAGTGTTTCTCATTTAGGAGAAAATTGTTGGCTATCTGTCCTGCTCATTTTTTGAGCAATAGAAGAATATGTCGCGTTTCAGCAACGGAATTTGAAAAAGTTTCCATCAATATTTCAGTTTCTTATTCCATGTAACTTTCATGATTTCAAATCTTAATATATTTTGAATTCGAGATATTAATACCAACTATGTTTTAGATCAACGAAGCGAAGTGTTATTGTTCGACGGAAAAATTGCACAAATGAGGAAAGTTCAAATCTCGATATATTTTGAATACGAGATATTGATACCAACTATGTTTTAGATCAACGAAGCGACGTGTTATTTATCGACGGAAAAATTGCACAGGAGAGGAAACCAGACCAGAAACCAACGAACGGTGATAAGTTTTTCATTCTCTCTTTGAAGCCGATGAAATATTACATCTGATATCGAAAACCGCATGAAGATTTGTCATTTTTTTTTTCAAAAAATACACTACCATGATGATATTCTTGAAGTAAGGTCTGATTATTTTTATTATTGATCAGGAAGAATTATGATTTACCTGTTGTATGTAAGTAAACGGGATTAAAGGACCATTATTATCTTTCTCTCTTGTGAAATATTGTCACAAATTCGTTACAAGACTTCGTGCTTGCGAATTCAAACGTCTTCCTAGCATGTTGAATATAATTTGACAATGGCCACGCAAAACGATGTCATTTCAGCACCTACTGCACGCCTCTGAATTAGCCACCTCTGTATTCAAGCTTTTAACCCGTTGAGTTCAAAAACGATGTCGTAACTCATGTCAACAAACGTCATGATAGACATTGCTGCTGTATATGCAAGTCTGAAGAAAATAGCAAGTTGCGCGTAGGTCTATGCTAATTTCAGTCACATGCAAAGAAATATTATACAGACTGTATCCGAGTACCTCTGATCGTTAATGGCGCCGTTCTCTCGTTCCAATTCTCCGAGAGGGTTCAATATGAGCACCCTAGGGCTCTGGTTGCGAGCGCCCTCGCCCGGCAGACTCATCTCCTCCGTTCTGGAGGGGGTGCGGTCGTGGGTGCTCGGCAGGACCATCTTGGTGCCCATGCCGAAATAGCAGCAGCCACCCTCCTCGTCCTCGGAGTTCGAGTCCGAATCCTCGTCGGCTTCAGAGACTGAAAAGGACATGTGGATTCGATCACAGAACTCGGAGGACCAAACCTTTTCCAATTGTATTTCAGCGTCAATTCAATTTCAGATATCGTCATTTTTTTTTTCAATTTATTTTTCCCTAATTGAAGTACATGTCATGATGTATAAAATTATATATAAAAAGAGAAAATCCTAGATATTGGATCTAAGCCTAGGCAAGAATGCCTGTCTTGCTTTGTGCTCGGTCTCAGGACTGTTGTTTCAGAAATCCTCAATTGTATTCCAGAATAGGAACTTATATTTCAGAAATCTTCAATTGTATTTAGGAATTCATTCAGGCATAGCAAAATGAAGTTTTTACCACCTTATTTTGAAAAGTTTTGAATTTTTTTCAGATAAGGAAATATAGAACGAATATAGGCGTTATAAATTATGATTTTATTTTGTGTATTTAAATAGCTTTGACATCTATGCAGGATTCATTAGTACAATTTTCTTTGTCATGTGTTCTGCATGCTTGTGCCAATTTAAATTGTCGTGGATTATCAATTCCAAATATTTGGTATGATTGACCGTTTGGATTGCCTGATCTCCTATTTTGATACCTGGGTCCTGACTTTCTTTATTTTTAATTTTGAACAACATAATTATACACCTCAAGCCTTAAATGTTAGGTGATAAATCTTAAGTCTTAATTTTTTTTATAAAGTGGCCCTATTAATTATAACCATAACCTAATACATTGTTTCCTTGAGTCTTATTGAGTGGTTATTGGTTCACAATTATTGAACAAAAATTGGGTATTGCCATTGATTATTGAATTGAATACCTATATAATTTTTTTTTTAGATAGGTAGCATCACTTTTTTTTACCAATTGTTAAAAATGGTGATTGTGAGAGTCTACTTCTTTTAAAAGGTATTTATTTCAACATGTATTACCTGGATTGAATCGCCGCTGTTGAGTGAGAAAAAAATTTCTGAAACTTGATGGTAAGTCGACTATATCCTTCATATGTTTATTGCATACGAATTTAGTTTCTCCTCTTCCATATGGAATATTCAAGTTGTCGTCATCACAATATATCATCTCATCAACTGAAAATAACAAAATTACATTTTCTATGGAATTTATTCCGATGTAATCCTTATTGCCAACTGAAATAATGACATTTTCATGTAGGTTACAGAAAAAATGAGGAGAAATAGGTCGTGTGCACGATGACCGACCCTGGAGGTGAAATATTGAAACACAACCTCACTTTTTTCATTTGATTATAGAGGAATCAAAGGATTTAAATAGCGTTTCACTATATTTTGGCATACGAATCGTTTTTTTAGCGGTATTCATTAATTCTAGCATGCCTTCTCATTTTACTGTTGTACAATACACAAAAAATGCAGTGAGAGACGAAGGAATATGATTTTTCAGGCAAATAGTAATCTCACATAGTTCTTATTATAAAATGTTGTCATTTCTTATTAAAATTCCTTCTGCCACTTCTGCAATAGAACCTATAATACTGCTTATATATTGAAAATGTCTACAACACACACGATCATATTTCGTCAGCATGTCAGACCAGTCCTCCCGTTTGATTGCATGAATCCAATCTTCTTGCATTCTTTTAGACATTTCACGGGCATTTCTATTTATTTGAGAAATTATGAGAAATCAGAGAAATTACCAAAATTCATTCAATGAAAACTATATGTGAGTGACTATAGTTGGTACTTACTTTCAAATCATATTGTACCAACCGGATTCCTTCGTCTCTCATTGCATTTTTTGCTGTATTGTACAACAGCACAATGTGATGGCATGCGCGAATTAATGAATAGCCGAAAAACACGATTCGTGCGCCAAAATAATTGAGAAAACTATTTCAATCATTTGTAAATAAATAAGAAAAGTGAGGTTGTGTTTCAATGTTTCATCTCCAGGGTCGATCATCTGACAGTTCTTGCACGCAATCACAGTATATGTATTATCCTTTCACGAGAAGGGATAATATACTTTTATTTTTAATACCAGAAAATGCCTGTTATTGAAATAATTGACGCTGAGAATAATATCTAGTTCAGATGAACTGGAAACTATTCATAAGTGACAACCTGCCAACTGACAAATCTCAACAGCTGATCAACTGCTGCTGATAACTGATGAAAACCATGAAAACATGTTCCGAATTACAGCACTGTATTTTTGATTTTATATTTCGGAATACAGATTTTCAGCGGGGTCAGTGGATTCACTGACAGTACTGACCAGTTAAATTCGGAATATAGCCTATGTTTTAATTGGTTCACATTTATTTTTGGTCGTGCTTATTGGTCATATAATCAAAACAAACCGCTCAGAAGTGTTAAGTTGCTGCTGTCAGGTGGAGCGACGTGTTATTTTCTATTGCAAATTGAATGTCACTTTACCTCCAAATTCTTCTTTGGACCCATCAGCTCCGCATGTGCATTCTGGATAAGGATCCCGGTACAGAACACTGTCAAAAACCGGTTCGATTTCATTTTTAGGTTTAGAACTAGTGGAAGCATAATCTGCAAGATGATTATCCGAGATACTTATGTCTGTGCTCGTATCAGCCGGAGATCTCTTTTTAGGATCACCGTCAGAATTTATTATTCTCTCGTTGTAGTCCACCTCTCCAGATTTGAAGCTCTGGAAATACAACCTCTGGATAGAACTGCTCGAAAAAAACGTGCGAATTAAATCACCACCGATGCCTGCAAAAAAGTTAGGGCTACAAGTGGTTCACAAACTAGTCGATCTTTGTCTACCTGTGAATCTGCAATCTACAACCTTCAGTTTTTTACAGCCGAACTTGGAAACGTTCAGATATGGAATCATGTTCATGTGAACTCTTATGCATTTGACAATAGAGATGATTTCTAGGTGTTCGTATTTTGAGACAGAAAGTAGAAAGCTGCAGGTTACCCAACAGCATTCATCCAAAACAAGCACCTAAAATAATTTAAATTTACTCAGGACTGAGTAATTGATCAGCAACGATTTTAATATAAGTGTCCTGTTCACTCACTCAGTGAATAATTGAATTTCTACCTAGTAAATTATTCAAGAAATATTATTCATTATTCTCATCTTGGCATTCGAGCGTGTATTCATGAGATGATGTCATAAAAACTCTCATTTGTTCTTGAGCAACCCAATGAAATCGACATTTATTGTGTGATTTTGGACAGATGATTTTCAGATTTTTGATGAAATCATCATTACTCAGAAGATTTTGATAAAATTTGGTACAGGTGGGATGGTGTCGCCGAGTGGCGATCATGCTAGTTGGGCGGGTAAAAGTACCCTGTACAACTAGCATGATGACATTGATTGCCAGATTTGAGTTTGATCTGGTCTCGTACCTGTCAGGGTTTTGTTCTGTTAGAAAACGCAAGTTGGAGAATCATTTCTCTAAACTAGTCAATTTATCAATCCGATCATTCCATATGGAGTCTTTTCCATCGGAAGAAAGTTTTCATGGTTTCCCACGTTGGGCGCCATGTCGAAGATTATCTTCCTTGTCCTGGGAATTCTTGCATGGGAAACCATGAAAACTTCCTTCCGATGGAAAAGACTCCATAGGGAATGATCGGATTGATAAATTGACTAGTTTAGAGAAATGATTCTCCAACTTGCGTTTTCTAACAGAACAAAACCCTGACAGGTACGAGACCAGACCAAACTCAAATCTGGCAATCAATGTCATCATGCTAGTTGTACAGGGTACTATTACCCGCCCAACTAGCATGATCGCCACTCGGCGACATCCCCCCCTCCTCTAGCAAGTCGGAGTTTATTTATTTCGAAATGAACGATGAATGTCATAACAATAAAGAATGTATACAGGAAGTATTCCTGAAAATAACGACTTTCGTAATATCTTCGTCTAGATTCTGGTAGAGTTGCTTGACGCCTAGGTCTCGTACTGAATTCTTCTTCACTTGAACTTCGCTCTTCGTCAAACGATGTTCATACCCAGATTTCTACCAAAACAAGCTTTTATGAAAAAACATTTTTTTTAAATGCACTACACACACAAACAGAGTGATGCCCTCTCACCGACAGACATCTGTACAGGTGAATCTAAATAAAATCTAGTGATTGTGATAATATCCTGATATATCTGGAAACCAATGAAAACTTTAAATTTCTGTCACTCATATTGATTTTAACTAGGGTCCCTTGATGGAAATTGACGTTAAACAGGGTACGCACAGATCCTCGTCTCCTCTCACTCTGAAGTGTTTGTGAAACAGTTATATCGTTCCATCCTTATTCAATCCTGGGGATAAACACTAGATTTTTGACATTTGTTGTTTTTTAGGTTATATTGAGGTCATTGGCGTATCATACGTAATTTCCATATGGAATTCCCGATTCAACTATACCAAGATATAGATGAACAATCCTCTAGTTTTAGAGTTTACTACTCCAGCATAATCTTTGCGAGAAAGGGAACATATTAGTTGTACCTACTGAAAGCTTAATATATTTCACCAAAAGAGACTGTTCTTAGACTGTATACCAGGGTTGACTGAATTGACTGGATGATTTCTGATTTTAAGCTGAGCAGTAGTTCATCTATGAGCTGAATCAGCTGAGCCTTGATAAATGGTGAATACCTCGATACCAATTTCGAAAATTGGGTCATAATAATTACAAAACTCTTTCACCCTATTGGATCCGCCATCTTGAATTTTTCAATTTTTACGAAAGAGTCATAGTCTCCTACCACGAAAACTTCCAGATACAAATTTTTACTAGAATCGGATCATAATTACAAAACTTGTCCGCCATATCGGAGCCGCCATCTTGAATTTTTCAATTTTGACCGAAGAATCATAATTGCTGGCCCCAAAAACCCCCAGATACCAATTTTGAATAGAATTGGCTCATAATTACAAAACTCATTCGCCATTTTGGAGGCGCCATTTTGTTTTTTTTTTCTCTAATTATGTACACCTGCCGACAATCGGGCGACTAGAAGTGTGTCATATTCAATTTGCAAGATTTAATTACACACACCCTGATGCGTGAAAGTGAATGAAAGCTTGTAAGTAAAAATCGCTAGTAAGAATTCTTGTACTTTTTCTCCTGGAAATTGAGTAAGCTGGACTTTGAAGGTTGTATATTCTGTAAGAGTTTCAAGCTTATTAATCAGATAAAACAGTTGATCAGGCTTAACAAATTATACAATCTGAAGAAAATTCAGTAAAAATGGAACTATCAATAAACATTTTAAAGGCTGACACAAGAAGACAAGAACTAATGGATCACACAGTATGTAACCAAGTTCATCCATTCATATTTGCTTCACCACAAGATAATGATATTAAACAGTTCTTAAAATTCAGATAAGCTAGTTTTTGAAGAATTTGAACATTTTATGAGATCCCAGTCACAGCAGTATTCACTCATGGAACTGGACTCTTTATATGTCTTGGTATTATTTAGCTGGACTCATGAGGAGGAAATTAACATTCTGTTATTTACTACACACTATACTTTTTCTAGGGCTATAACAGATAGCAGCGATTTTTTTTTTTTTTGCTTGTAGCCATCTGATTTTTCCTTAACTAATGCTCATCTATTAGACAGAGCTTCCATTGCTCCAAATTTTACATTTAATGGTAGATGAAATGTCAGATGTGAAATAATAACACAATGAAGTCACTGTGATATTAGATACAGAAATAAAATTGATGGTATACAAAGAACCTCATTGAATTATGGAACACAGTAAAACAAGAACAATTTTTTGTTTTAGCCGTGGAAAAACAAATTTTGTCCTCGATTTTGTCCCTTTACAAGTAATTCCAAGGATATCTGAGAAACAAACAGGAGGAATACACATTGCATACTTAAAGTTTTCCCTGTAGGTACTACATAAAATACCTTGAGTTTGGGCATGTTCCTAACTGAGTGCTGGAAGAAATATTTTGAATTCTTCAAATATGTTCTCCTAAGACTTAGTTCTTCCAAGCCTGAAGGGAAGTCCTTGAGAGTAACCTGAAAAAATGTTCTTAGAATAAGGAATTATGCTCAACAGGATACTGGATAAGAATGATAGATTTACTTTCCTTCCCTCCATGTTGAGAACAAAGGGAGCCTAATTTACTGACCAAAATGGAAATTTTCTGTTTTTTACTCTCATGATATCATCATCATACAGGGTGGGCCACCAGTAACGCCTAGTCTCTAGAAGGCTAACCACTTATCTTCTTGGAATTCTTCCTCTCTAGGAAGTTGCATGTCAACATAGGCTACCATTTGAAATTATTTTGAAACATACAGGATGTCCCCAAAAATCACAAAACACTGAAGTTGAACTTTTTTCAATCGAACACCCTATATATTATTTCATCTTGAGATTCTCCCTGGTGAGCTGATTTCAACAATCCATCATACTTGGGGTCTAGCAGTTATAATTACTGAGATATAGGGTGTGAGAAATCCAGATTTTCCAAGTTCAAGAATTTTTTGTGTCTAAACCATTCATAATTGGTCAAAACGGCTCACATGTCCCTATCTCAACTTTTGATCAACTATCTACTGACATTTAATTGAAACAAATACAGGGTGGTGCAGAATTCAGAATCTTGATCACCCGGTATATGTCCCAATTAAATATCAGTAGATAGTTAATCAAAAGTTGAGATAGGGACATGTAAGCCGTTTTGACCAATTATGAATAGTTTCAACACAAAAAATTCTTGAACTTGTAAAATCTCGATTTTTCACACCCTATACCCTATATTTCAGTAATTATAACTGCTAGACCCCAAGTATGATGGGTTGTTGAAATCAGCTCATCAGGGAGAATCGCAAAATGGAATAATATATAGGGTGTTCGATAGAAAAAAGTTTAACTTCAGTGTTTTATGGATTTTGGGGACACCCTGTATGTTTCGAAATAATTTTAAATGGTAGCCTATGTTGACATGCAACTTCCTAGAGAGGAAGAATTCCAAGAAGATAAGTGGTTAGCCTTCTAGAGACCGAGGCGTTACTGGTGGCCCACCCTGTATATCCTGTTTCAAGTCATCCATCTGACCACAGTGGTGATACCAGAATGGTTAATGGCTGACTCAACTCCCATCAGAAGTTAACTTGGTAACTGTGTGGGCAGGTTTGACAGTTCAATAGCAACAGTAAGATGAGTTGATATAATTTTTTTCCAGAAGCATTTCATGATTTCAAATTGACATCATATGGAATATACCTACTTGAAAGTTCAGAAAGTGCCCAAAATATTTGAGATTGAAGTAAGCATGAAACTTTGAAATCAAATTATCTCCCAACCAAGATTTCACTGATGTCCTAGTGTTGCTTTGAGGTGATGATATGAAATATGAATAAGTGGATAAATTAAGGAAAAAGTTGTCATCTGGCTGTTATGCAGTCAGAACAACATCATGGGAACTTGGTATGGAAATGGCCAAAAGTGTTTACTTTGCTCTCATTGATTCACATTTGAGATATGGAATTTGTTCCTGGGGTTCATGTAGTAAAACCTTGTTTGATGTGATTTTTGCTGAATTCAGGGATTCCTGTAAGCCATTTTTTAGAAAGCACAAAATATTACCTGGAGTATTACCTCTTCCATGTATTTTCTTTCTGGAAACCTTGTCTCATGCACAGAAAATAAAAAAATGTAATTCATAATAATACTACCCACTATAATATAAGAATGGCACAGAATTTAAAAGCACCAATACCTAGCTCTACATTAATAATCAACTCTTTCATATACAAGGGCAGAAAATTGTATGATCATTTGCCTGAATTCTTTTCAGAGAAATTCCTAAAATAATTCAAATATTGTGTTGTATTTTTATTTAGAAATTTCAACTACATTTTGTGGTCTGTGCTTTCTATGTGTTTTGTATTGTAAGTTTTATTTATACATTGTATTTATATTTTGTACTCTATTTCTGTATATAATTGAATATGCATGTCAACTTTGTCAATAATAATTCTATTCTAATAATTCAATAAAGTATATTTTGATTTGATTTGGTATTTTTCCACATGTTTTCTGTGTTTCTTCCAAAACACACAGGAATAAATTACCCTCTAGTATGTTATGGTCAGTAAATTAGAATTTCCAGAACAAATGTTCTTGCTTTAATCCAGATATACCAATTTTTATAATGTCTCAATCTAATTACTCTGGTTAATAAAAGTTAGGCCTTGTTTTGGAGTATCAGAATCATTACTCATATTATTCCATACTTACTCTGGATCCTTGTAGTTTCAAATTTTCTAAAGCTAGTACCCTGAGATTTTCATAGGGCTTTATTTTATCAAAAAAGCTATCAGGTAAATCATATAAATTTAGGTTGCCTTGCAGGAGTAGGTGGGTTGATTTGTCATGTACCCTATTGGTACAATATTCCAATTTATCAGGTATGTTAGGATCATCTCTTGCATCTACATAACGCCAAAATGCTGGATCCTCAATGAAATCTTTCAAGTAATTACATACTCTGAAACAAATGTTGAATAACTATAATATAAAAACATGTTTTATAATAGTATACATACTGGCTCAAATTAAAAAGAGCAGTGGCATCCACATAAGAAAATAAGATTCTCAAAACATCTTGTGGGAGTTCTAATAATTTGCAGGGACCATTATAATATTCTCCTTCAACCCCCATGATAAGAGATTGATTCACCAATAATTTGACTGTGAAATTCAATTATTTGATCCAAACTAAAATTTGATAGCCAATCATGTTGTAAATTGTAAATAAAAATAATATTTTGTAATTTTTGTATTTGGGTTTTTGTCTATTTTGAGTTTTTGAGTGTCAGAACTAGAACTGTCAGTACATCCAAATGTCAAATGTCAATGTCTGATATCATGAAACACTGAACTCACGTACGTCTTCATCAGAGATCCGAGCGTCTGCGTCAGAAAAGGAAGACGAAGACCTAACCAAAGGTGGATAGATATATGGTGAAACAGCTCTTCATTTGTTATTCTCCAAAAACTGTAGACTTTTTATAGCCGGGTTCACAACCCCATCAATATTTCACGACTCGTGTGTAGATGGCGGCACGATAGATTATCGGTAAGCCCAATTTCGACTTTACCGATGATTTCTGTTTCTCTTTGATTCTATGATTCTGACATTCTATGCGATCAAGATCTTCTGATCAGATAGAGAGCTTGTTGATGTCGGATAGTGACGGTTGACGTTATAATGTCAAACAAATGTAAAAATCTAAAAATAGTGTTTTTCAGTATTTGAAAAGTTTTATTCGCAGTTTCGTTATACATGGATGTCCCCAAAATAACAAACAGAATGGAAGGCTCGACAATTGGGATTCGACAGTAGTGTGTACATACCTACATAGTTTTTGGATAGTTCAGTTTTATTTTCTTTGCTATCATCTAAACAAGACGTACAACAATCCGGAAAATCTTATCAATTATGCACCTGTGATTGCTTTTGGATAATTTATTGAACATTTCCTGGGAACTGATGATAAATATGTGAAGAAAGAAGCTTTACCTACTTGGGAGTTGAGGGATGTGGAAAACCATTCCTACCTACATTTAATAAATAATGTTGCTGCCTTCTATTTTATTTCAATTATGGAGAAATACCAGTGAGAATTCTAAATGTGGAGATTTTGATGAGCTCAGAATGTAGGTATCAAGTTCATTTCCAAAATGAAATGATGTTAACCCTAGTGTCCTTTCTGATGAATATGTACTTACCTCATATCTCAATATGTACCTACTATATCATACCCCTTTCATAAATAAAGTTATTATACTTATGTAACATAACACATTATTTTTGTGAAACCATCAATGCATCTCTATTTATCATGTACTAACAGGTAATATAGCTACTAATTATATTTCAAGAAAGTTCTGAATCATAATTGAATGTGTCAATCTTGGTAAAATGTTTGATAGGATTATGCTATTATTGATACTTGTCTTTGATATCATTGAATTCCAGCTATTCCTCAATGAACTGAGGGAATGTATTTGTAGGAACCTGACTTTGATACTAAACATATTCTATTATATCCTGATGAGCAACTGTGTAAGGCTGCTATTTAGAAAATATTGAATAATTCAATCAAATACATATCTTCCAAAGAGTGGTATATCTTCTGTTTCACATTTTAACAATGAGCAATATTGAAATTTGAATATCAGTACAACATAAGAATAATATGAGTACCTACCTAAATTTTTTCAACCATATTGATATATTTCTAGGAATTATAGCAGTGCATAACAAATATAGAAAGTTGAATTACAGCTTGTGGAAGTGAAACCAAATATGTAATTATATAATTCCTATATTCACAATACACAGTGTACCTACCTCACTCATAAAAATATAGTATAAAATATCTACATTCTAAAAAATGAAAATCACAAATTCAAATTCACAAAGAAAAAAACTCATCTGAATGGAGGCTGTGAAAGAAAATTGAGTTGACTCTCTGAAAAATTCATCAGTTTGAATATGACACACTACTCATTGAACTTGGGTTTCTATCAAAAGTGGAAATAATCCACTTTATTTGCTGGATTCCATGGATGTATAAATAAAAATAGGTTGATAATAGGTAATAAGGTAAGTACAATTTTATTATATTCATTAAATATTTCATATGTTATTGAATTATGTAAATATGACAGAATTAGTATATTCAGTGAAAAATGCTGTATTTCAGGATAAAGTCTATCAAACTCCTTTTTTCGAGATCAGTCACAGGTTGAATCCAAATCATCAGTCAACCTTTTATAAGGGGCATGGCTTTCATTTTTGGCTGCTTTCTTGGTCAGATTGGAAGCATTATGAAGGGTAAAATTCTTTGGAAACATAGTGACAATATTCAATAAATCCAGAAAGGAAATTGAGAATTACCTGAAAAAAAAAACCAGTTGAATTGAAAATAAAATCATAGAGGAGTTGAATTTCTGCACTTTCTGCACTATGTAATCTTGCACTCAACTAGTAGATACTGTTATACAGGGTGAGTCAGTTTTTTGTAGCAGGACTTCAACAGCTTGAAGAAGATACTATTTCAAGGTAAAAAATCTCAAGTGAACATAATATGCATAGGAGCTCCTTTTCCAATATACAGATGATATATTTTTTGTAATTTTCAACTCTTGCTACTGACTTGATTTTGACACATCCATGAAATAAGCTTTTGATGATTAAAGGAGAGCAAAAATAATCCAAACATTACACAGAATTCAAATTAATGTTTAATTGAAAGGAGAGGGAGCACACAGTATAGTTCAAGAGAGTTAAATTGGGTAGAACCTCCCGAAAGTGTATCACTCTGTTAGTAATCAGAATCGCCTAATAGCCCCAAATATTTAGTATTCAAGGTATACAAAATTTCAATTCTTTATTCTTGAAATTATAGGAAAAAACTAGAAAAATATTGAAACATTTTTATCTTTGACTCCCTGTAGTTTATGGGAAAGGAAGCTCCCATGTATGTATATGTTCAAGTGAACTCGCTGTTGAAGTCCTGCTACAAAGAAATGACTCACCCTGTACACTTTTCAACTACTAATTACATTATTTAAAAAATGTGATGATAAACGGGAAAATATAATTTGCTGACCGAAATTAAAATTGCACAGTTTTCTTTTTTAAATATAGGGTGTCCCAAGAAGCAAGAAAATATGTCAAAAATTACCAAAGTAACAGAGTACCACTAGCACCCTCTACAAGCAATCACAAAATAAGTTGCAAATTCGTATTTCTCATGTCAGAAAACATTATAAAATTTCATCTTAATGCTGTTGAAACTCACAAAGTTATTGTGAAAATTTGAAATTAAATCTCCCCCTAGAACACCCTGTATCTCCTAAACCAGCAACATTCTTATCAGGCATGTTAGACTAAATCTCAATATTGTAGTGTTTACTATCTATAGTTGAGAGATATCCCATTTTAAATGAATCACCCTGAATATGATATTCAAATAACATGTAACTTGAAGCAAAAATTTGAACCACAAATGTCTTCTCCAGAATCTGAAAAATAGTACATTATACACCTAGGGATTTGAAAACACATTAGTGCTGAGGTTTATATACTATTCTATGTACTTTATGATAGGCGTTAAAGAAAAAATTATGAAAAAAAATTAAATGCCAGTTTAATATTGTTCCAAACACATTACACTCTATTGCATCCATATCATCTTATACATCAAATAAAATCATTGAAAATAAATTTTTGAACACAACTTCTATTGCAAAAAAAACACTTCAAATCCCTAGGGAAGAAACTGTTCTATGAGCATCAAAGATAACTGAAAATAAATGTAATTCAGAGAAACAACTAGTAATATGGATTTATATTCAGAATCTGATAATGGACAATTTATTAGACAGGTAATATCATTTTTGTTATATTTCTTGCTCTACCTAAGAATTTATTTTCAAAGAAATGAGAAACTATTTTCAGGCTTCACAATATGATTAGAGATAATGAAATGAATATATTCACTCAACTTTTTGCCTACAAAGTGATTTTTTTAGCAGAAAATCCTGAGGCTATATTTTTTACTTTCCTGGTATTTTGAATATATCACAGGAATAAAAGTTTTTGAGAAATCAATAATAAGAAATTTCTATTAAATGAGTGCATAATTTTTGGCATTCACTGAATTACATATATTGACAAATATTTTGAAAGATGAAACTCACCATCTGGGTAGGTACATTTTATACCAAAGGATGATTTTGGATGTTTTGCTTTCAGTTTTGTGATGATAATGGCATGTCTTGTAGCATCAACTTGCTGGGGTCCAGGTGTCCATTTTTTCATGGGGTATTAGTTTGATTTATTTTTTGATCACTTCCCTATAATGAATGAGGAACCTCATGGATATTATCTAGGAGCTGAAACAAATAGAAGAAATATCAGTTGTTCATATGAAATTGCTAATTTTTCAGATAATCACAAATGAGCAATGATGTAATATAAATTATGGTACCTCCAGGTACCTCAATATCAGCATTGCACATTAACTTCATTATTCAGTTTTCAAAATACATACATTATTTAGATAGTAAGTATATATACCTAGGTACCAAATATAAAAAGGACAGAGATTTTTGAAAGAATGGATAGGTTGGTATGTTGAATTCACCTAAAAGATACTTACCTACCTATTCCAGATCTACACTGCATCTCTTATATGGATGACAAGCAAAACTTGAAGCCTCAGTAGATGAAAAATAATGATTATATTGTTTGGAAGTATGGAATTCAATATAGTAGCTGGAAGTAGATAGATACTAAAATAACTCTACAGCAATTTGTCTGTGATAGGCCTTGTTATGGTTTTGGTTCAATTTATCATTCATGTGTAGATAAACCTCAAAGAAGAATGTGGATTTTTTTCATTTTCAACTTCTGAGTATCAGGTACCTAATCATTTTGTGAAATAGGCCTGGATATAACTACACTACAGTAAGGTGGAGTTTTGTATTTGTGATTACTGCACTTACCTTATGAACAAACTAGTGGCAAGGACACTGTTCATCTTTGTACATACTTATGATATTTTCGATTTGCACCAAACATAATCATATTATTATTATTTTATTGTGTACTTGTGATAGGGTGAATTCCAAAGGTATACTGTGAGTGTAGGTGTACTTTCTTCCATTTGTTGCTCCTCTGCTGCCAATTATTGAACCCACTCATATCACAGCTCATTTCAATCAACTGACTTTCTACACTGTTTTTCCAACACATTTTCACTGTTTTCAGGTTTCCAGATTCACTATTCACAATAATATGAAAGAATTATCGCCCTTTTGTCAATATACCAACTCCACAGTCCACTTCCAATTGTGACATTAGAATTCATAGAAATAATTTATTATGCCCATATGCCAATTCATGTGTATTTGTGGTTGCAGCGTTTCGGCGACTCGGCAAATACCTATTGAAACCGTTTTCAGATTCGTAAATTTTCCGTTTCTTCCATAATATGATGGAAATCTGATAAATTAATTGTCTTGTTATTGAAATTGAGCATTTTTTATGTCACCAAATTGACGAGAAAAATATGATCGACCTAGCGCCATCTATGAGAACTCTAGGAATTATTGTCGATGTCATTAAAATTGACATAATCAAGTAGGCAAAAAACTACACATTTTTCTAGTCTTTTGCAAGAGTAAGCTATTTCACCATAATATATCTATCCACCTTTACCTAACCTAACCCTAAAATCTTGCACTACCAAGATGAAGATGAAAACAACAACAATTATGTAGTGTTTAGTGAAGTCAAAGTAAAATAGCGAAGATATTACGAATCAAATAGTTCATTTATTATAATTCACTTTTATTCAAATCATCGATATGTATAAAAGTTTGAGAAAAATTTTTTCAGAAAATGTGTACCTCTTCCTGGGTATCTTTATTGGCATGTATTTCTCTTCCATGCTTTCTACATCCTTGGATACCACTTGTAACAGGCATCCCAAAGCACAGGAGGTTCCTGAGGTGAAGCATCATATGGCACAAGTAATAATCAACTCATCTGTGGACAAATTTGCTCCCAAAGTTCTCTTGAAGAAACCCAGTCCCAGCAAAAAAGGGAAATTGATTAGGCCCAGATATTATTCAACAGAGCTGGGTATCAGAGAAAAGCTATTTGTTGGTATATTCACTTCAGAAGAAAAGATAAATAATCAAGCTTTACACATAAATAAAACCATTGGTCATCTGGTGGACAAAATCAAATTTTTTATGACTGCCCAATATAAGATGAAAACTGCATTGAACTTAACAGGGCTGGTTGGATTTACAGATTCAAGATCTAAGTATAGACCTTTCCAAGTTCTAAAATATGTTTGTGATACATTTGGACAGGAATATGATTATTATTTTTTTGCTAATGATTATACATTCATTAATGCTCATAAGCTGAAGGATGTAGTGAAGAAGATAAGTGTTAGTATGGATATATATTTGGGCACCAGAGTTGAGGATGGAAGCTACTGTAGCTTAGGTACAATTATTATAATCTTTGCTTTTGTCATATTTTAGGGAATTCTCTTTTTTTTTTCAGATTCTGGAATAATAATAAGTAATTCAGTTTTGAAGGCACTGAGAAAACATTTGGACTGGTGTATTATGAATGCTATTTCTGAGGATCAGAGTGAGAACATTGGTAGATGTATTCATCACTCTTTGGGGCTATCTTGCCAGGAAACTGTGCAATTAGAAAGTTTGCCTTCCTTCAAATTGAAACACTTTGAACTTGGCTCACATCTGAAAAAACTTGTGCAGAATCAATATTTCAATAGTGCTGTTACAGTCTATCCAGTATTACAGAAAGATGATTTCTATATATTGAATGCACATTTTCTAAAGGTAGCTTATAATATCTCTTTAAATTCAGGTTACTGAGAAACATTGTCAGTTGGAATTTGATTATCAGTTTCTATTATAGTCTTTTTCAATCAATTCTGGCTATATAAACAAGTGTTGGAACCACTTATATCAATTCAAATATATACCTTGAAACTTATCTTTAAAAAACCTTTTGATTATTCTTCCAAAATCCTCTTTGAATATTATTACATTTTATCTGTTGATCAATTGTTTTATAAAACATCAACAATATTCATAAGAAAACATTTACAAAACTATAATCATGTAAAACATAAAACACCAAAAATTAAATTGATGGTTGGATATCAACTGAGAAATGTTCTTTAACTTTAATGCAACAACAAGCCATTCATATAGGTAAAAAAATTCACAATAAATTGAGAATTCAGAAATTTTAGAAATTTGATTTTATGAAAAAATGCTTATGCAACATATCATGTTCCTTATAGCTATTCTCAGATAATATAAAAATGTTTTTATTATTGATTCAATTCAATGAGAAAAAGGATTTTAGTTAGTCAGTGGAAGGAAAAAAATATGACATGATCATGGACAAAGTTTTCAACTTTTTTGATCATGTTTATATTATAAAAAATGTATATGTATTATCATTAATATAGTATGCTGATATATATGTTATTTTAAAAATGAATAAATGAATAAAATATAATAAAAATCTTCAGATCTAAAATTTATATTGAATTGAAAGTCATGGAGAAAATATTTTACCAGGCATATTTTCTGCACAAACATATTTATATACTTTGGAAACTCTTCTCTGGAAATGTTCATGAACTTTTTTATTCAAAACATGGAATACTTTATTATTTTCAGCAAAGATTGATGACCTTAAAGGATGAAGTTAATGATCTGTCATCTCCTTTGACAGAAAATTGGCCTCCAGGTCAAAGGGCTGGTTCAAAACCAGCTACTAGATTTGACTTACCTAAACAGCTTTATTTCAACATGTCACATGTATTTTTTTCTGATGATTTCACAAATATTAGAGAGCACACTGAAGCTGAAATGATGGATATTGAGGTGAGCATAAAATAGATTCAATGATGATATAATATTCAAAGTGAGCCAATTTTCACCTTTCACTGGTTCAGAATGACCATAACTTTTTTCTCAGTGTAGCTTTTTACTTTCTCAGAAAGGTACACTTGTGAAAAACTGCTAAAGTAAGCCATTTCAGATATTTTGGTTTTTAGTGTTTGATTTTAATTATTTTGAATAAAAAATTCTTGCTGTTAACAGTACAAAATGGATTTTTCAATATTTTGGAACCTACTTGTAGATTTTTATCCTTCAACTTTACCACCCTGTATCTCAGAAATATGTACTGAGATTTTGTACAGACCTTTCAGGGACACCCTGTACTGAATTCTGTCCTGTTGGCATTTATGTTTTGAGACTGAATTTCAACATACTGGTACAAACTACTAACTGAGCAATTCTAGTGCTGGTCTTCTCTTGCAGAATATTTTAGAAGAAATCAAATCTGAAGTGGCAAACAAATATAAAAAGGATTTACAATTTAGAAAACTCATGAGTGGTATAAAAACTTTTGATTTGAGCAGAGGAATGGATTACACTTTGGATATTTCCTTCAGAGATCTCAATACAGGCAAAGAAGTGATCAAGAGGTATTGTACATTATTTTTACTGTCTCCTGTTTATGAACATGACAATTCTATTCCAGCAAAAAATCACTGAAACAGTTGTAGGGATTCATTATTATATTCTTCTATTCTTAAATACTACTATTAAACAGATATTACACCATAGATCATGTGATATAAAATATATATCGCACAAATCAACAGGAAAATTTGAAACTTATGGTATAAGTTTTTTGAAAATTTAAGGTTCTATTATTTGTCTAGGTCCATAAATATGAAAACAGTTGTTAGAACATCTCAAACTTGAGTTTTATGTACTATTTCTTGATGATATTGTATGAAATAAATAAACTAAGCTACAATGAAGGTGAACCAGTTCCTCTTCATCTTCAAGTAAGATTTCATTTGAAGAGTAGAGCAAATCCTTATAATCAATTAATCATCAATAAAATATTTTTTTCCTGACCGCCCTAAAAATCCCAAAAAAATCATAGACACTAATTCAGACTCATAAAGAAAGAATTTGATGTCAGATTTGATAGATAACTCTCCCTGTAGATTTTCGAAATCAGCGGTTCAAGCAATGCAGTAGGCTCATATAGGTGGAAAAATTATTTTTTTCCTGGTTGCCCTAAAAATCCCAAAAAATTCATAGACACTAATTCAGACTCATAAAGAAAGAATTTGATGTCAGATTCGATAGAAAACTCTCCCTTTAGATTTTAAAAATCAGCGGTTCAAGCAATGCAGTAGGCTCATATAGGTGGAAAAATTATTTTTTTCCTGATTGCCCTAAAAATCCCAAAATATTCATAGACACTAATTCAAGCCCATAAAGAAAGAATTTGATGCCAGACTTGATAGATAACTCTCCCTGTAGATTTTCAAAATCAGCGGTTCAAGCAATGCAGTAGGGTCATATAGGTGGAAAAATTATTTTTTTCCTGATTGCCCTAAAAATCCCAAAAAATTCATAGACACTAATTCAAACCCAAAACGAAAGAATTTGATGTCAGATTTGATAGATAAATCTCCCTTTAGATTTTCCATATCAGCGGTTCAAGCAATGCAGTAGACTCATATAGGTGGAAAAATTATTTTTTTCCTGGTTGCCCTAAAAATCCCAAAAAATTCATAGACACCAATTCAGACCCAAAACGAAAGAATTTATTGTCAGATTTGATAGATAACTCTCCCTTTAGATTTTCAAAATCAGCGGTTCAAGCAATAATGCAGTAGGCTCATATAGGTGGAAAAATTATTTTTTTCCTGATTGCCCTAAAAATCCCAAAAAATTCATAGACACTAATTCAGACCCAAAACGAAAGAATTTATTGTCAGATTTGATATATAACTCTCCCTTTAGATTTTCAAAATGAGCGGTTCAAGCAATAATGCAGTAGGCTCATATAGGTGGAAAAATTATTTTTTTCCTGGTTGCCCTAAAAATCCCACAAAATTCATAGACACCAATTCAGACCCAAAACGAAAGAATTTATTGTCAGATTTAATTTATAACTCTCCCTTTAGATTTTCAAAATCAGCGGTTCAAGCAATGCAGTAGGCTCATATAGGTGGAAAAATTATTTTTTTCCTGGTTGCCCTAAAAATCCCACAAAATTCATAGACACCAATTCAGACCCAAAACGAAAGAATTTATTGTCAGATTTGATATATAACTCTCCCCTTATTTTTTCAAAATCAGCGGTTCAAGCAATGCAGTAGGCTCATATAGGTGAAAAAATTATTTTTTTCCTGATTGCCCTAAAAATCCCAAAAAATTCATAGACACTAATTCAAACCCAAAACGAAAGAATTTGATGTCAGATTTGATGGATAAATCTCCCTTCAGATTTTCAAAATCAGCGGTTCAAGCAATGCAGTAGGCTCATATAGGTGAAAAAATTTTTTTTTTCCTGATTGCCCTAAAAATCCCAAAAAATTCATAGACACTATAATTCAGACCCAAAACGAAAGAATTTATTGTCAGATTTGATATATAACTCTCCCTTTAGATTTTCAAAATCAGCGGTTCAAGCAATGCAGTAGGCTCATATAGGTGGAAAAACATGTTTTTCTCCGATTGGCAGCAAATATTAATCATGCTGACACATATCAATCAGCAAAGTATTACTTTTCCTGCCTAGGCAGCAAACTGGTTATACTCAATGGGAATAAAACATTTGACAAAAACATTTATTAGCAATTATTACATAACACTTTTAACAAGAATTTAAAAAACATATGTTTAGTTGCTATTAACATTGATGGTAAAATTCAAATTCAACTATATATTTTTGCCACCTCCCTTTATTTCTGGAGGAGTAAGTACTTCCAGGTCGCTATCACTGTCCATTATATTAAAATTTAAATATACTGATATTGTTTCGCACAACTGTCAGAAATTTCATGAATTGTCAAACTATAATTATTATGGACATTTCCATAGCAACCAACAACTGCGATTTCTATCAAATTTTATTTTAAATTGGAAAACTAAATAGATTGTGGGGATTGTAATAATTTGCAAATACAATCGGAGAAAAAATTATATGTTCAACTCGGCAGTCAATCTACTACTTTGCTGCCTAGTTGAACAAATAACTATTCTTTGTAAAATGTCAAGTAGGTATATACAATAATGGTCTACAGGCAAGTAATATTCCAGGTTTGAGGTTTGCAAACCACTCGGAAAAATCGAGTTCATCCCAGTACCATATATGACTGAAAATACAAGAGTGAATATAATTCTTCCTATACAAGAAACGGAAATATCATTGGGTGTGGACTTTTTGACAACTTATGCCAAAACCATAATGGACCGAAAGGAAAAGACATTCTTGATGCTTGTATTTCTGTACCAGTTCAACAGTGAAAGCAAAGGCACTGCAGATCCATTTCATGAAATCAAAAATTTCGCAACAAAAGCAACAAGTAAATATAGGAATGATGATGCCAAAATCGCATGGTTATCAGTAAGGCTTCCGTCTTATCCCAGACCACTGTTTGTTCAGGAAAATCAGGCACTGAACTTTGCTATTGTTGACTTGACACTCAAGAAAATTGGACTGGATAGTCTTTCTCTGCTTCTAGATGTTTATTGTAATATAACAGTGGACTTCCTAAACAGGGTACGTGAATTATATGTCCCTACATCATTTTTGAAAAAGATCGCAAAAAAACTATCATGCAATGATTAACTTTGAGAAAAGGATCTGAAAACATCACTGTTTATTTATACAAGGTGCCGTAAATGATGGCGGTTGTTAATAATATCGCGCATGATATCTATACCAATATAATGATGGAAGTAAGATATGGTGCGCGTATTCGGCCATTATTACGTATTGAAAATTTCAGAAAAATCACTCGACCGCCTACTATGATTTCTCTTCGTCACAACGAGCGAGACGTTGATTCTACATTTTCCCGTTAGATAGTGACAAGTAGAAATAAAATGGCAAATGGCATTTTAGGTACGCGGAACATATGTAACAGTGGGATTATTCAACTCTGAATTCGAAAAATCTGCGACAATTTCAAAACTGACAGATGTCATAATTGTGCAATGTCGCCATCTATTAGAATATCGACGGAACCATTGCTCTTGCTGTTCTCGAGAGGTCGAGTAAAATTTCTGAAACAAAAGCGCATCAGTAATTACACCATATCTTACTTCCATCATTACCAATATTATAAAGAGGAAAGATTTGATTGTTTGTTTGTTTGTATTGTATTTGAATAGGCTCCGAAACTACTGGATCGATTTGGCTAAAAATTGGTAGGGTGGTAGCTTTGAACCAGGGGAAGGTTATAGAATACTTTTTATCCCGGTAACATGAGGAAATTCAAGATGGCGGATCTAATATATCGGACGAGTTTTGTAATTATGGTCCGGATCTATTCAGAATTGGTATCTGGGGGTTTTTGATTCCTTCGTCAAAATCAAGAAATTCAAGATGGCGGATCCAAAATGGCGGATTTTGTAATTAGGATCCGATTTTATTCAAATTTGGTATCTGGTGGTTCTCGGGGTCGGAGATTATGATTCTTTCGTCAAAATTAGGAAATTCTAGATGGCGGACCCAATATGGCGGACGAGTATTGTAATTATGATCCGATACTCTCTTCAAAATCGTTATCTGGGTGTTTTCGGAGTCGGAGATTATGATTCTTTTGTCAAAATTTGGAAAGGGCAGGATTTGGAAATTCAAGACGGTGGAACCAATATACCGGACGAGTTTTATAATTATATACCGATTCTATTCAAAGTTTGAAAGTGGGCGTTTTCGGGATCAGAAATTAGGATTCCTTCGTCAAAACTAGGGAATTCAAGATGGTAGATCCAATATTGCGGACAAGTTTTGTAATTATGTTCCGATTCTATTCAAAATTTTCATATGGGATATATATTATAAATTAGAAAAGCAAGCTCTTATGTCATCGACGAGTATTTCCGCAAAAAATAATATCAAGAGTTGCATTCATATGATTATTTCATGATTGTATGAGTAAGATAATAAATGATAATGCTTGATTTTGAATAATAATTCTGAAAATGACATGTCATCCTTAGGTTAGAATGAATACTATACCACATTTTCAAGTGTTCAGCCCCATACCATTCCGCCAGTATAATCCAAAAATATCACAACATAGTAGCTTGGAAATCAACAAATATTCTGGGCACTTTGACAGAGAAGAATACAAATATATATCATTTTATGGAAGGGATTATGTTTTTGGTAAGTATTATTGTTGTTATTATTGGTTCTAACACTCATAAAATTTTCATTTCAGCAAGGAAAAAATATGAGCGTTTTATGCCATTAGTGCGAACTGATAATGATATCAGTAATGTTATTGATGAAGATCATAGGAATACAGGAAACATTTTTGAAATGTTCCTTAAGTTCAGTGAAAACCTTCATTGTATGAGAGCTACTGAAATGAATTTGAGAATAAAGTACCACGAGGAAAAATGTCCAAGTAGACGAAATTTATTTTTAGGAACTGAAAATCAGTTGGCCAAACTTCTTTTGACAGAGAATAATATATTATTGTAATGATATATTTTTTATATGTATGATTTGATGTAAGTGCGTGTAATAACTCATTGTGATATTTTTAATATATTTTTTAAGTATTTGATATGGTTTTTGTATTTTTTTCGATAAATATTTCCAAGTAATAAAGGTACACTTCCTCAACAATGCTGGAGGGGATAGTTTTCGAGATATTTACAATTTTCTATATTGATGTATGTCCATGGACGTATGTCACACTTTTAGCTGCTAGGTCGCTAAGTGAAGTTACTGTGAACATTTCCAAAACTAAGTATGTGGTATAGGTCTGGCCAAAATGATGAAATATTCAGGGTGATTCAGGTTTTAAGGTACAAACTGAAATAGATAAAGTCTCCAATGATAGATGAACATCCAGAACGTTTCTGCCCGACCAGCAGCCACGAAAATGTGCTTTTATGTTTGCCATAATTATAAAGTAGAGTAAGTCTTGGGAATAGTGAAAATGTAATTTTTATCCAGCAGGATTCCAGAAGGTACCTCTCCAAGTTGTATCCAAGTTAATTTCTCAGCGCCATCTGGGTATCTGCCGCTAAACTGTTAAATTTTTGCAATCTCTGGGAATACGTCGGTTGTCATTGTCATGTCATGTCACTAGTCATTTTAACTGTCAAGATCAAAAATGGTTTTGTTTTGTTTGTTTTGATTTTTGGAAAAAGTATAGTATGGATAATAGTATGTCGGGCCTAGAAGAATTTTGTTGCGTTTGCGTCAAAAAATATCCACATTTGGAAAATATAACTAATACTGAGGATGAGAAACTCACATTAAAGTACAAACTTTCTGTTTGTGTGCCAGACCAAGTGAGTACAAGAGTACAGCATCTTTTAGAATATTCTCAGTAATCAGTAGTTCTTGTCATCTTTTAGAAATGGTACGAAAACTACAATATATGCATAAATTGTATGGAAAAGCTGGAGTCAGCATATGACTTTATACAACTCTGTTTATGTAGTGAAGAATCACGAAAAAAACAGTTACAATTACTGGTTGAAGGTAAAAAAGTTAATGCTGCAAAGGATGAGATGAAACTACCAGATCAAAGCTTTAGCTGCAGTGTGTGTCAAAAACAATTCAGGTTGAAGAGATCTCTCAAATTACATCTCACCAGAATCCATAATAAGCAAGATTTTAATATTTCATCAGAAAAAAAGTCCAGAATGCTCAATGATGAAAACACAATAAAGGCTGAAGAAGAAAAATCTTTGAGTGAGAATGAAGAAAATTTCAACAATGAAAGCAATTATTCTAGTGATGAGGATAGCAAACTCCATCTAGAAAAAATAAAGAAATGTAATAATAGAAAGAATCCTCTTACATGTGAATACTGTGGTAAAATATTTCATAGGAGACAGCACTATTCTGCACATATTCGTGCTAAGCATACATTTGAGAAACCATACAAATGTGACTTGTGTGATGCAAAATATACAAATTCACACAGTTTGCTAGTGCATAAAAGAAACCATAATAATGAAAAACCTTTCATCTGTTCCCATTGTGGAAAAACTTTTGTATGCTCTGGAGACTTATATCACCACAGTAAAATCCACCTGAACAAAAGGGAATACAAATGTAATCTGTGTGAAAAAAGTTTCAATACAGCTAGTATCCTCAGAACCCACAAGATTTGTATGCACACTGAACCCAAAGATTGGAAATATGTGTGTTCTCACTGTGATAAGAGATTTCCCATCAGCTCAAGCCTATCAACTCATTTGAAAAGGCATGAAGGAGTGAGAGAATTCTCTTGTCACATATGTACAAAGAAATTCTTTGATAAATCTGAAGTGTCCAAACATATTAGGAGCCATTCAAGTGAAAGATTGTTCAAGTGTAATATATGCAATGATAAGGAATACAAGAATAGTTATGGTTTGAGAAAACATATGAAAATCATTCATGATGTAGGCAATATGAGGATTATCAAACCAGAGAAGAAGTATTTATGTCCAATGTGTCCTAAAATATTTGCATTCAATAACAAGCTTCAAAAACATATCTATACTCATACTGGGGAAAAACCATTCAAATGTAATTATTGTGATAGAAAGTTTATTGACAATTATTACAGAAAAATTCATTGGAAAAAGAAACATAATATCGAGGTAGATAATGAAGTATACTCTTGAAAAATTTTATATTTCTCATGTGAACATTACATTAACATTACTGTATAGTATTATTACATTAAATAGGTATTTTTATGCCCTAATTTTAAGAATACATTGTTTCAGTTTAAATTCCTTCACCACCTTTGAAATAAACAAAAACTCATCATTGAAGAAATATAAATCCATACCTATTTTTAGATTTTAATAAGAACCTGTACTTACTTCTATGGGCTGCCACTGACTGTCGTGTCTGATTTGCGTGTCTGCCATCTGTTAAAGTTGAGTCAGCTCAGCTGACTGTAATCCTCTTCTTCTCCAGTGTTGCCTGCTTTATTTCATGAAAATATATTCAGGAAGAAAACACCTGAAAATTTTTCACGAACTCACATTCTTCGTATTCTCCTTCGTTTTTTAACAAAAATTACATTTCGTACCTATGATTGGTAAAACTGCATTTAGCATGCGATGGGTTTTTTTTCGAAAATTTTTTTTTGTGCTTACGTATTTTTGTCTGAAAAACACGAATTTGGTAATGAAAATGTGAACAAACCATTATTTATCAAGATATTCCACTACGAGTTCCACTATAAAGTTACAAATTTCACCTTCTTTTCCGCCTGTCTTCTGGATTGAATTTAAAACAACTTACCCTTCTGTTTTCATCATTGGACAATTTATATATATCACAATGTAAGACACATTTTTTTCTATTATTGAGTCAACTAGAAATATGATTTTCTTGTGATTTATCCATATTTAGTGAAAAGAAGGAAAAATATCATTTAAAATAATGGCGTGTGTAATGTCATTCAAAAGCACTCTGTTGACATTTGACATTTCGTATTTGGATTGACTATATTAAATGGCCGTCATCTGGTATGCTTGTTCACTGAATATGAAAAACTCGCCTTAAAAATCATATTTCCTGTTGCAATTTCTGTATAAAAATGTGTCATTGAAGTACATCATGAGTATATAAAGTGTCCAATGACAAAATAAGAAGAGCAAGTACCTGTATAAATGCATCCAACACAAGGGGAAAATGGAGTCGAAATTTCGAACTTTTCTTTGAAATATCTCGATAAATAGTGGTTTGTTCACATTATCATTGTCAAATTCGTGTTTTTCAGACAAAAATACCTAAGTACCAAAAAAAATTTTCGAAAAAAAACCCATCGCATGCTAAATGCAGTTTTACCGTATAGGTCGCTGTAGAAGAAGACAATTGTGCATAGGAGTTATGCGAGCTAAACTGCCTGAAAAATGGAAGGATATCAAGTGCTAAGAAGTTTTTGGACTTCTGAGAAATGAATAATATGTTCTTGTGTTATTGCAAACTGGCATCATTGCTTTATGGCGCAATGTGTTCCGCTAGAGGAATAATCCTGATATCCCAGGTCTAACAGAAAAAACATTTTAATTTTTGTCCTTCCATTCAATACCGAAGAGATAAGGTAACGTGTAGGTATGATGATTATATTTCAATCAAAATCAAACGACCTACAAGCTACGGAAATGAAAATGCAAGAGATATTTCCATTTGAAAATTTCGGTTTTTCAGGAAGTAGCACCCTAGCCCTCCCAATCGACAACGCCAATGCACGAACGCATCGATTCGGGTGAATGCATCTTGCTTTCTCTTAATAACAAACGATCCCTCACTGTTTTGATTTGTATTTTTAGACGATTTTACTTCGTCCTGCACCGGATTCCAGTGATTTTATTTATATGTTTGCACTTCCGTTTTTCGACGACGTTCTGCAGTGAACTTTTCTTTTCCAACAGGAAAAAGGAAAAAACGGAGGGTGTCAGTGATAAAGCGCCAGTAAACAGTTATGTTTCAGTGTATAATCCAACAGAAAAATGGTTGGATTCATCCCTACAATACCGAGAATAAAGATGTATATCCAGATATTCGCTTGCAACTCAACGATCAATTGAGATGTCTGGATGTCCGCATGGAAGCACAAGTCGCTCTCCTGACAGAAATTCAGGACTTTTTCCGAAAAAGGGGCGAGCTAGAGTTAGATTATTCGAAAAACTTGGATAAGTTGGCTAAAACGTTACAAATTCGTCATAAGGAACAAAAGCAGAAACGAGAGCAGTGGCCTTTATTCTCCAGTTATGCTTGTTGGCAGCAACTAGTTACCCAAACAAAGAATTTGAGCAGGGACCATGCTGCCCTATCTGAAGTCTACTCTACCCATTTGGTTACTAGATTGACTCAAGTGATGGAGGATGTACAACGGATATACAAGAGGTGCCGTGAAATAGGCTATGAAACGCACGAATTAATATTAAGAGTATTACATGAATTGCACACAACTATGAAGACCTACCACAGTTATCAAACTGAATTACGGCAAGCCGAGGCAAAATTGAGAACTGCTGAGCTGCAGAGAACCAAAATGGAACAGTCATTCACACAAGATAAACTCGAACGCTCAAAAAAATACAAACTAATGGAAAAAGAAGTCACTAAGAGAAGAAGCAAGTACACTGATGTGAAAGTGAAAGCACTGAAAGCCAGAAACGAATATGTCTTATGTCTGGAGGCTTCCAATACTACCATACATAAGTATTTTGTAGATGACTTATCTGATCTCATTGACTGTATGGATTTTGGATTTCACAACTGCATTTCTCGTGCTTTACTAATGCATGTTACATCACAAGAAGGTCACCAGAAATCAGTACAAAATGACTTAGATACCTTTACAGCATGCTTAAACTCTCTTGATTCCCGTCTGGATAAACAAAGGTTCCTAGAGTTTAATCATGGTGCATTCATGATTCCAAAAAAGTTGGAATTCCAAGGACAGAAGACTGATGAAGCTGCAGAAGCTGGAATCCAAAGCATCATGCACAGAGAAATGGAAACAAGACTGACACAACTCCAACAAAGGGTTACATCACTCAGAGCTGAATCAGAAGAGGTTTGGAAGACACTGGAAACAGCTGAGAGCACCTTATTGGAGATGGTGAGTGCCAAAGATTATGATTGTAGCAGTTATTTCGGCGACAATGCATTGCCGGCGAGTAAACCCCCTGAGACAGTTTCTATAAAGCTCAGGGCAGACCGCCAGGAGACTGAAGAATTTTATTTAACAAAATTTCGCGAATATCTAGTGGGTTCCACAAAGATAGCACGTCTGGAATCCAAACAGGAGTTTCTGAGACAGACTCTATTAGCTCAATATCCGGATTCCCGTCATTCTATCAAACCTGTAGTGAGAACGCCCAAAAGAAAAAGGATCGGCCGACTGCAGATGAGCGGTCAGCCGAAACTTTTCGGGGGTTCTATAGAGGAGTACCAAGAAGCCACTAATCAGGAGATTCCTCTGATCATGAGGTCTTGCATTCGAGTGATTAATCTGTATGGTCTGCATCATCAGGGTATATTCAGAGTGTCTGGTTCACAAGTTGAAATAAACAACTTCAGGGAATGGTTTGAGAGAGGGGAAGATCCATTGGCTGATATGACTGACGCGTCTGATATCAACAGTGTTGCTGGAGTACTGAAATTGTATCTGAGAGAATTGAGGGAGCCTTTATTTCCCATTATTTACTTTGAACAATTCATGGAAATTGCTCAATTAGAGTCAAAGAAAGAGTTTGTTAGGAGAATGAAAGAACTGATAATGAGTTTGTCAAGGTCAGTGATGGTGGTGCTGAGATATCTATTTGCCTTTTTGAATCATTTATCTGAATTTTCCGACGAGAATATGATGGATCCCTATAATCTGGCCATTTGTTTTGGACCAACTCTTGTACCAGTTCCAGAAGATAAAGACCAAGTCCAGTATCAGAACCAAGTTAATGAGCTCATAAAAAATATAATAATGTTCAATGATGACATATTCCACAATGACGGCGGCACTGTTTATGAAAAGTACATCTCGCCGAATCCCGAGGATAATGACGTTGAAGAATCCCCTGATCAGACCCAAGATGATATGGATTCAGAAGTCTATCCTTCAGAAGATGACTCTGAAAATATGGAAGCTACCGCACAATTCGACTTTGTTGCTAGATCTGATCGGGAGTTATCCTTACAAAGGGGCGATTCGGTGACCTTGTACTCGCAAGTGTCAAACGATTGGTGGAGAGGTGCTGTCAAAGGGCAAGAAGGACTCATCCCCGATAAATATATATCCTTGAAAATGAAAGGCGATGACAAAGAAAAATCCAGCCTATCCAAATCTAGCTCTTCTGAGGATTATGTTTGTAGAAGAACATCTATCTCTACTGACTCCATCTTGTCCGGGAGTTCTCCATCAGTCAGTAACTTGAATTCACCTTCAGCACAGGGTCCTCAGTTGACATGGAGTGAGGCTGCTAATTTGGCTGAATGCAAAGAAAATCTAGGCCAGGCAAGAGTGGGATTGATACTGAAACCATCTGAGCTCCTGAAAGAGAGTCCTCTCAGTGTCAACATTGAAAAATTTAAAGTGAAAAATGTTGATCAGGAGGAGTCTTCAACCAGTAGCAGCAACACTGAATCTGAAGATGAGAAGATTGGCTCATCTGAAATGCAGTCTGAGATAGATGAATCCAATGTCAACTTCTCTGAGAATCGGGAGCTTTGGCAGAGAAGAGCAGTTCTGGAAACGGCCCTAGTTCCCCCTGTGCTGAAATCCCATAAAATTCCTGAACTGTATCTTCACAAGCAAAATCACACTCCCGATTTAGTAATGGATTTGCCCCTTGTGGGTAGTCCCAGTCCAAAGGACCAATTATTGACCAAACCTGCATCAGTTGCTGTAGGGGTATATCCAGAGAGCTCTTCAGTTATGGAATTGAGTTCTCCCAAAGGTTTGGAAACAGCTTCTGGGGGTGATAGTCCAGAAATGCAAACTGCTGCAGAAACTTTTGCCAAACAGAACCAGTGCACTTTGAAAAAGAATAAGAAAAATCAGATACCTGAAGCACAATACTTGACTAGGAGTCCTAGTCATGAATCCTTTCCTCTGAGAGATGTAACGGGAGGGTAATTTTTCAGACACCAAGAACCAGAGAGATTATTTTGGAAAAATACATTGTACTTATTGCATTGACTGGTTTTTCAGGGAAATGAGTTTCTATTTACCATTTATTTGAACAGTATACTTTGTATACGTCCTAGGTCGGTGGTGATATTTTTCACCAAATCATTTCTTTGATCAGCATTTTATAATCATTAACCACAGTTCACAAAAGTTTGACGTACAGGGTTGCCAACATTTGAATATTCAAATAAGGGACAACCTGACGGTGCATTCACAAATTATTCCTAATTTGAAAATAATATTTATATACCATATAAGTCGATTTCTTCACCATCTCAAAAGTTGATATACAAGGTGATCAAGGTTTTAAGGCACAACTGAAATGGGAGATATATCTCATCATTTTAATAAAAAAAGTTTATACAAACATCAGTCCGATCTCGTTCAGTAGCGGAGCTACAGGGGGTCAAAGTTCAATCATTTTTTTCTATTAATTGAAATATCTCGCTTACTTTTCTAGATATCATTTTGAAATCAAGTATGGTCTATACTTCCTAGAAGAACATCATTTCAAGCCATTTAAAGATTTTCAAAATCTACAGGGTGATGCGTTTTTGGGGGTAGAGGCTTCTTTATCCCACGAACCGTTTTTGAGATAAATGAGCATATACGTTCTAAAACATGTTAATTTTGCCTATGTTTCGCTTAAATTTTATTCTTTGACAAAATTCGTTGAAAATGCAATGAAATGAACTTAGTAAAATTGCAATCACGAGTCCAATCTGGATCAGTAACGGGGATACGGAGGGTAGAAAATCAGTTGAATAAAATTTACGCGAAACAGGCAAAATTAACATGTTTTAGAACGTATATACCTAGAAACGGTTCGTTTCTCGAAAAAAATTGAAGAGCAAAAAAGTCTCTAAATTGATCGATCCACACAATTTTATCACTGAAAGAAGCCTCTACCCCCAAAAACGTATCACCCTGTTGATTTTGAGAATCTTCAAATGGCTTGAAATGATGATATTCTAGGATGTATTGACCACACCAAATTTCAGAATGATATCTCAAAAAGTAAGCAAGATATTTCAATTAATTTATAGGTTGAGTGGAAGGAAGCACTTGTTCGAGTCAACACCGAGTCCGAACCAGAGCTAACTCTGCCTTTTGATAGATGATGTCATATGTTACCATTTTTTGTTAACCATTATCTGTCAATAAAAGCGATTATTATTATCATTATTAATAATAGAAAAAAATAATTGAACTTTGACCCCCTCGTAGCTCCGCTACTGAACGAGATCGGACTAATGTTTATGTGACCTTTTTTCATTAAAATGATGAGATCTATCTCCCATTTGCGTTTGTGCCTCAAAAAATGAATCACCCTGTATAATCCAAAATATTCATTTAGTAGTGCAATCATTGGTGCTGAGTTATAATTAAAAATATATATAATGAAATTGTATCTTCTGTTTCTTGCAAAATAATTGAGACTATTTTCTTCCTTATCATGCCAAATTACATATTCATTGGTTTTGATCTATTATTTTTAAATCAACTCAGTGTTCACATACCATAATTATACCCCTGCCAGCTTTATGTGCTGTGGTAATGGTAATTAAAATGGATAGAAATATATGTCAAAGCATTACTATTGTATTTTATGAAACTATAATTTGGTGTGTAATTTTGTGATTTGCCTAACTATTTTCTTCAACATTATTATTATGACAATATGACTAATTGATTTTACATTATTTTTATAATATTTATACATGGCTACTAAATATCTTTTCAGCCATATCTTTAAGTATACATATATATGTTTATACCAGGTGTCAACGAATCTATTAGACAAGTCATAACTTCTAGACCATAAGGTGTATCAAAATGAGATTTGGTATAGGTAAATGGTATGTGAAGAGGAGAGTTTTCACACATTTTTCACTTTCTGGTCACTTCCGGTTCCACCAAATTTGTTGATCCAATCGCAAATAAATTAGTATTGTTAGATTCGTCAAAATATCCTCTTTTCGGAAAGTGCTTGTCAAAAAATGGTCACCGTTTGAAAAATAATAGACACAAAAATGTAATTTTGCCAACTTGTCTTATTCATATTTATCATACGTTTCACTAGAACTTCGCGATTGTAATTTTCTGATATCACCTGAGGTCCTTAGATTAGTTTACTCCCGATCCTGGCCACCTAGATGTAATTTCAAAAGTGACTCCGAAAAAATTAAGTAGACATAAAAACTTTCGAAAATGTCGCATTCTGATCTAGAATTGTCTCAGAAATCCAAAAATGTTACAATATACAGGGTGTTCCATTTAAAAATGTAGAACCGGAGCCATTTCCGGTGAAACCGGAAGTGACCGGGAAGTAAAAAATATGTGAAAACTCTCCTCTTCACATACCATTTACCTATACCAAATCTCATTTTGATACACCTAATGGTCTAGAAGTTATGACTTGTCTAATAGATTCGTTGACACCCGGTATATATACACATACCTGAAACTAATAGGATAAGGTCATAATATGGGGTACTGGAGAGGACAATAAAAAAGTTGTGCTATACAGTATTTTTTTAAATCAGTTTTCGCTAAACATGTTCAATACCAGTTAATAGATTTTGAAAACACCAAAACTATAGGTCAAAGTTGCGTTTATAACAAATTCTTGAATATTTCATATAGACCATATAAAAGTTTGAGCATAATGGATGGATGGATGGTAGAAATGTCATGGTCAAAAAAATCTATTTTAAAATCAAGTATTACAGGGGGTTAACTCTGTAGATGAGATTAATAGACATTTTTATGTTATATTTTCGAATTTAATAATGTTTTCATGTTATTTATACTGATAAATACCTAACTATATCTTTTATATTCGATCTTGACACATTTATTTATATTGAATTGTTTTTGATATGAAGTGATTTTATATTCAGTGACTTTATATCAATTTGATGTTTTTGTTTGTTTTATTACAGTATGTTGTACGTTTGAAAATTAGTTTTCTATAATAATATAATATGTGTTTTTTACTTTTCTTGTTTAGGTTTTAGTAGACAACGAGGCAAACGATATTTTGACAAATTCGCAGCCATGGTATGATGTAACTTTTTTTACATGAATGAATAAAATTATATATCTACCTACTTACCTACCTGATTATTATTGTTGCTTCCTTAATGATTCATAGGCATGAATAAGTAAAATATACTCAACATTTTTTATTCCACAAAAGGGTACATAAAATATTCAACATTGGATACATTATTCGATATAGCTATCCTGATAAAAAAATCATACATTAAGAAAAGTTGGTAAGTCAAAGAGAATTTTGAGAGTTCATAAACAATTGATTATGATAAATAATGAAAATTGGCTGGATGGTGAAATAAAATATCAAATGGGAAAAATGTTGATTTGTTATAAGATAAAGAATAAAAACTTCTGAAAGAGAAATAATTAAAATAGACAGGATAGTAATTTGAAAAAAGCCAGTTTTTCTTTTATAGGTTGAGAAAATCAGATTGATTAAATTAATGTGATGCAATTTCAATTGACACATGAAATTTTGTATATGAATGATAATATCTCGCGCCAAAAGACGTTGATAAAATTAAATTATACATTAATAGGTAGGTATATAAAATATGTAGGTACTTCATTCTAAAACTAAACTATATACATGGTAAAGTATACTGAGGTTATGAGTAGGAATACAAGTTGCAATAAAATATCAATCAAAACAGTTGGGTTGACTTCAATTATATAAGGGACACTCCTAAGGGTTATATATTACATATCACTCACAGAAAACAAAACTTAATTATCTGCCTCTTGATTAAAACCTTCATATACACCAAGAAACACAATCGAACTATCATTTCAATAATCATATATAGTGTGACTCACTTGAGACCAGAGTACCCTACTAAAATCTATTGATAGTTCCCAACCTATTCAATTTCTTTTTGTTTCCGCAGCAATATTTAATGTGAAGTTTAATAAATGTGTGTGAAAAACATCAGGCCGCCTTATCTCTTCGCCGATAACCAGGCCGGATGATAACGGATTCATCAGATAAGGGGGCCATACAGAATGTCAAACGTGCTCCATTATCTCTACGCCGGTACCCAGGCCGGATGACAACGGATTTGTCGGATAAGAGTACAAACGTAAGGGTTACTCAGCTGTGTGCACGTGTATATATACCAATAAAGGGAAGTGTGGTATTTCGTGCAAAATTATCTTGCACGAAATACAACACTTCTCTTTATTGGTAAGATTACATACGATCGAATATTATGAACAACGATGGAATCGGCTACAAGCGGTGTCCTAGTGGTCGAATCAAATGATAATTCAAATACATATTTTTGAAGAAGAAACCTGATCTGAATAAATTGTTTCGGGAAATAAGGAGACAGAAATCCAATGAACCAAAAAATGAAGGAGATGATGAAGGTTTATACAAAGCAAACCTGTGTTGTGTTATGAATTCGAATATCTACCAGTAGAAAGTTCGATGATTTTTAATATTTGTCTTAAATATTCATACAAAATGGTAGGTTGCGAAAAATTTAGGTTGTTATAAATTTGTTGTCAATGAAATTTTGTGATAAACCTAATAGAAGAAGGCTGAATACAGTTGTGATGTCGTGTTTTCTTGAAAAACACCGCTAATGATATTTCGCGTTTTATACAAAAAAAAAATAATATGCCCGTAAATTGCAATTATATTTCACAAATTTGTGTCGGCGAATATCTTCGATACTCTTTCTGCTGAAGAAAGAATTGAATCGGTTGGAAACTGTATAAGGATGCGGCCTTAAGTGGGTCATACTGTAATAGTAAATATTCACACCTTTACTTTTCGATGATAAAAAATGGGTGTTTCTGAAATTGAAGCAATAAATGAAACAAGATTTAGTTTGAGGCATAATGACACAAGAAGTCACAAGAAAAACATTTACATAAAACAA